AGGATAAGAAAATATCTTTTTCAAAAAGAAAATATCTTTTTCTTTTTCTTTTCTTTTCTTTTTTTCAAGACAGGGTCTCCCTATGCAATTTAAGCTGGATTTGAACTCATGATGTAGCCCAGGCTGACCTCGATTGAACTCACAGGGATCCTCCAGCCTCAGCCTCTCCACTGCTGGGATTACAGGCATGTGCTACCATGCCCAGCTTCTTCTTAAACATTAAAAAAAAAAAAAATGTACTGTAATTCCAGCACTCAGTAGGGTGAGGCAGAATAGCCATGAGTTCAAGGCCAGGTTACTTAAGCAAGTTCAAGAGCAGCTTGCACTACATAGTGAGATCCTGTCTCAAAAAAAAAAAAAAAAAGAAAGAAAAAAGAATGAATAGTACACAAGAAAACAAAAACAAAACAGAAGCTGAGGTTGTAATTCAGAGGTAGAGTGCTTGCCTACCGTATACAAGACCCTGGGTTCAATATCCAGCTCTATAAAAGAAAAAGAAAAAGAAAAGCCAAAAGGGAAAGACTGAGTATTATGCTGCGCGAGTTATTTCTGTTGTTGTTGTCTGTGCAGCCAGGCTGCCTTGAGCTCGAGTCCTCTCCTCTCAGCCTTCTGACTGCTGGAGTTCACTGGTATGCCTGGCGAATATTTTTAATGATATTTCAGCACTGGGGATTGAACTCAGGGCTTTGGCACTGAGCTACAACTCCAGGCCTCCCCCACCCCTGCTTTTTTTAGAGAGAGGTTCTTGGTAAATTGTCCAGGCTGGGCTCAAATTTATAATCCTCTGCCTCAGCCTCCCAAAATGCTAGGATAACAACTGCGCACCACCACACCTTTCTTAATTAAAAAATTTTTAAAAAAGAAAAGAAAGTAAAAAAGGTAAGCCACAGGCTAGAAAAAAAAATTTGGAATATATATACTGATAAAAGGATTTATATCCAAAATGCAAAATTAACTACTACAAATCAATAAAAGATATACAATCTATGTTTGGTGTGGTGGCGCATGCCTATAATCCCAGCTAAGGCTGAGGTTAAGGCTGAGGCAGGAGGATTGCTGCAAGTTTGAGACTGGCCTGGGCTACAAAGTGAGCTCAAGGCCAGCCTGAACTGTATAGCAAGACCCTATCTCAAAAAGACAAAAGAGGAAGAAAAAAAGAAAGAAAGAAAGAAAGAGAGAGAGAGAGAGAGAAGAAAGAAGGAAGGAAGGAAGGAAGGAAGGAAGGAAGGAAGAAAGAAAGAAAGAAAGAAAGAAAGAAAATACAACCTAGTTTAAAAATATACAAGAAATTTTAATAGACACACCATGAGAGAAGACATCCAAATGGCAAATAAACACGGGGAAGGGCAGATCCGGATCTGCTTTCCCTACACATAATGTTTCTGCCAAAACCACCACCCGTGACTTACAGGGCGTCTCACCTGCCGCCAGGGCGTCCCACAGCCCCCTCCCCCATCACAGAATCCGGTTCACAGCAAGGGAACCGAGGCAAGGGGCCAGTGTCCCGACATTACCTGCCTAACCCAGCTAATAAAGTGGCGGAGAAGGGAACAATGGCACGGCCTTTGCAAGCCTTGAGCTCGGAGCTGGAGAGCTGTCAAGGCCAGCAAGGCTCAGGCGGGCCCCGCCCCGGAAGCAGTCTCTAATCTACAGGGTTGTTTCCCCCATAGCCAGGACTTCCTGTCCAGAAATCAAGAGCAATGGCAGTGGCACCAGGACTGTTGCGTCTCGTGACCCACACACAAAATTCTGGTTTCCTGCTCCCCCAGTCTCTTGCTCTGCAGACCAGGGGGCTTAACTCCACAGTGGTGCCTGCAATCGTAACACTCAGGAGGCTGAGGCAGGATAGTGAGTTCACGTCCAAGCTGGTCTGCATAGTGGGACACTATCTCACTGGAGACACAGCGATGATTCCTCAGAGCTGGGAGCTGAGGCTGCTGCCTGGCCGCTTTGGTCCTGTCATAGCTCTGAACCGACAGGCTGAAAAGGAAATTGGAGGGCTACAGGGCTGGAGAGGTTGGTCAGTGTTAGCGCATGAGAACCTGCTTCCATCCCCAGCACTACCAAAAAAAAGGTGTGTGTGGGTGTGTGTGTGGGTGTGTGGGTGGGTGTATGGAAGAGAGAGAGAGAAGCAACAGCAGCTGGTGTACACTGTACTGGTGTACAGTGTCAGCATTGTGAGAGGCTGAGGCAGGAGGATTACAAAAGTGAGCCCAGCCTGGGCACTGGGCAACCCAGCCACTCAGAGAGACCCTGTCTCAAAATGAAGAATAAAAAAGGACTGGAACGTAGCTCAGTGAAGTCTCTGGGTTCACACCCCATGTACAAAGTTAGCTGCTGACAGAGGTGACTGAAACTTCCTCCAAAGAGAGACTGGAAGAGTGGCCTGCGTAGAGTAAGCAAGAGTGTGTGGAACGCAGCAGAGCTCATGGGTGGCTCACAGTTCCGCCAAGCCCATGATCGAGGTCAGTGGAGAACCACATGTTCTGCTACGGGAAACACAGAGAGGGAGCGGAAGGGAGTAGCTACGCACGCCCGGTGTGACCATGTAGCCAGTACAGAGCCAAGGACTGTGCGGCTAGCTGTGTTGTGAATGTGTCTGTGTGCGTCCGTGGTAAGCACACACCTTTGTTTTCTGCCCGCTTTTGCCATGTAACATGAGATGGATCGATTTGATACCATAATATTTGGTTAATTCCACATCATAATATTTGAATTATAGGTTTTCAAAACACGCCACCCAAGGACTTTACCTCTTCTGGGTAAGAGGTTACTGTGGTTGTTTTTGTTGTTTTGGTTTTGGTTTTGGTTTTTTTCCGGTACCAGAAATCGAACTCACAACCTCGTGCTTGCCAGGCACGTGTTGTACTGCTGAGATAAATCCCCAGCCCCTGTGTTCTGTTTTTGTTTTATTTTGTTTTGTCTTTTTGAGACAGGGTCTTGCTATGCAGTACAGGCTGGCCTTGAGCTCACTTTGTAGCCCGGCCTGGCCTGAAACACACAATGATCCTCCTGCCTCAGCCTCCCGAGGGCTGGGATTACAGGCGTGCGCCACCACGCCCGGCCTGTTTTCTTGTTTTGTTTTGCTTTTGTCTTTCTGAGACAGGGTTTCACTATGCAGTTCAGGCTGGCCTTGAATTCACTTTGTAGCCCAATCTAGTGTTTAACTCATAGGGACCCTCTGGCCTCAGCCTCCTGACTGCTGGGAATACAGAGCATCACCACGTCTGGCCTAGTGTGTTTTTCTTTTAACTGTACACAGGATAATTGTATTGTGTTTGACAGGACTATGTCCTTGTTCTATCATTTTCGTTTGTTGAGGTAAGTTCTTTTAGGTAGTCTAGCCCTTGTTCTATTCTCTTGCCTCAGCCTTTCGAGTGCTAAGGTAACAAGCACATGCAACCACCTCCAGCCTTGTTATTGTCTTTATTTAGAGATTAAATATGGTTAAAGAAGGTTCATATGTTGCCATGTTGGTAAGGAGTGGGCCTGTAATCTTCCTTTTCGGCATTTTCTCTTTCTTTCTTTCTTTCTTTCTTTCTTTCTTTCTTTCTTTCTTTCCTTCTTTCTTCTCCTTTTGTGGTACTGGGGATTGACCCCGAGCCTACGCACTGAGCTATACCCCCAACTCTTATTTTTTATTTTGAGACAGAATCTCACTAAATTGCTAATTTACTCTACTGGGCTCAAACTCTTGCTCCTCAAGCCTCAGCCTCGAAAGGGGTGGTTAATTTTATGTCAACTTGACCAAGAGGTGAGTACCTAGACATGTCGTCAGACATTGTTCTGTGCGTGTCGGGAGGGTGTTTCTGGATGAGATTAACACTGGAGTCCATACACTGAGTAAGGCAGCCATCTTCTTATTGTGGGAGGACTCCACCCAGGTTTTGAAGGTCTGGATAGAAGAGAAAGGTGAGGAAGAGGGACTTCTTCCTGCCCACCTGTTTTGAGTTGGGACCTTGGTCTTTTTTGGCCTCTGACTCAGACTAAAATAACAGCTGTCCTTGGTCTTCAGCTGGCCCACTTTCAGGCTGGGCACTTCTACGTCTCCAACTTGCCAACTACAGATCTTCTCAGTCTCCATAATCATGTGAGCAAATTCCTTCTAACAAATAAACACCTTCTCTCTCTCTCTCTCTC